TGGAGAAGACTCCTGCGAGTCCCTTGGACTGCAAGGCGATCCAACCGGTCAGTCCTAGAGGAGATCAACCCTGACTGCTCTTTAGAAGGCCAGATCCTGAAGAGGAAACTCAAATACTTTGGCCATCTAATGAGAAGGAAGGACTCACTGGAGAAGAGCCAAATGCTGGGAACGATTGAGAGCAAAAGAAGAAGGGAACACAGAGAATGAGGTGGCTGGATGGAGTCACTGAAGCAGTTGGTGTGAGCTTAAATGGACTCCAGAGGATGGTAGAGGACAGGAAAACCTGGAGGAACATTGTCCATGGGGTCATGATGGGTCGGACATGACTTCGCAACTAACAACAACAACAACAAAGGATAATATGTGTAGCTCAGGGTTGAAATGATGGGTCCTTGAGGCTCTCCAGGCTTGGTTGTTTTCTTGTAGATGTTCCATTACCCAACCAGGTAACAAAATCAGTGATATGGTAGCAGTTTGGATAATGGAATATCTGCAGGAAAACAACCAAGCTCAGGAGAGCACCAAGGAACCCTCACTGACAAATGTGCCGGCGCAAAACTGCCCCCGGCTTGAGATAATTATTCTTACTTTCACTGAAGCACTACTGTATTACATGGCCAAATTCTACAGGAATTTCGCAGCCTCATACAAAATGGAGTCATTGCCTTTTCCTACTTTACAGAGCAATAATATAACAGTAGCAGCAAAGCCAATCTTTAGAAAGCATTGCATTAAGTCAGCTCCAGCAGGGATCGTGTTGAATGTCCCAAAAGTGCTTTTTTCTGCTGTTTTTTTTTTTTCCTGTTCAATTCTGAACTGAAGAAGCTTCTTGGATGAGAAGCGAAATCTTTTCAAGGAAACAAAAACAACAACAAGAAGAAGAAAGTTCAGTTGCCTTTTGGAAAAAGCACCTTCGGGACACACCATGACCTGGATGATTGAAAATTTCCATAGACATCAATCATGTTAAATAATTGGGATGCCAGACTTAAATTTCAGGACAAAATCGGAAGTATCAGGTGAAATTACCTTTCTTTAAGCTTGCTGAGTTAATCATCAAAGATGATTAATGGCAGCTATAAGACACACATTGACAGTCAATGGCTACTGGTTACGAGCCGTTTTCCCACCTAACCAAGAAAAGCTGGTGACAAATATATTTATTTATTCCAGTTCTTAAGGCCACATGACTATTCCATGAATCTGGATGGCTTACAAATAAAATAAAAGAAACGGTACATCTAAAGGAGAACACAGCCAACCTTTCACGTAATTCTAACATAACCAGTGGAATGAGTTTTGGAAACAGATTCCTTTGGTGGGCAGGAGAAGTTGGGACTGTTTTAAAGATTATCGGGGTTCCTTCCTCCATCTGTCTCTTCTTAGAAGTAGAGAATGTAATAGAGATATTATCCCTAAGTCTTCGATATAATTTTTCCTATAAAACTGATTCGATAAGATTTGTGCAGATCTGGGAACTGACTGAACACAAAAACATAGATCTAAGACGAAAGCAAGAAGATGCAGCAAGCGTTCAGATGTCTGAGTCAACCAAATCAAATGGGAGTTAAAATAGCAAGGCGCCCACTGCTCACCCACAAAATCGTCCAAATGATGCTTCATCGTTTCTCTCTCTAAATTTGCAACCCTCTATGTAAAACAGAACATGCAAGTGTCACACAAAATCTGTGTTTTCTCTCTCCCTCCCTCCCTCTCTCTCTCTCTCCCTCTCCCTCCCTCCCTCCCCCCCCTCTCTCTCACTGGTTCTAGGATGCTTGTATTCCTTTCCTAATCCAAATTTTTCCCCCTCAAAAGTATTTCTATTGCTTCAATGAGAGTATTCATTTATTGTGTTCATGCTAAACATGCTAAATGCTAAATCTGGGTTAACAGAGAGATGGCATTGTGTACCTGACATGCAAAGGCCATGAATAAAATGATGGATTGACTTACTCCATACAACTTGTTAAGGCAATGGCTGGGTTTCCTACAGCATACTAAATTATAAACTATCCAATTTCATTTCAGCTTGGCATGATGTTTTGCATTATCCCATCCTATGAACTGATAAGGTTGAGCCAATTATATGAGAGAAAAGGAGAAGGAAAGAGAAAGGGAGAAAGGGAGAGGGACGGAGGGAAGGAAGGAAGGAGGGAGGGAGGGAGATCCCAGTGTAACTGAGCAGACCCAGAAGTAAATGTGGGGAAGTTAAAAAGCCATCTCAACCTATAAATTACCAAGGATGGGATACCATAGTGACAGTAGTCTAATGAAGTGGATCAACATACAGAAAACAGCTTCTATTAATGCTAAGTATAAGCAACCTTTCTAGATTCTCCGTCCAATTTGTGGGGCAGAGAATGGAGTGATTTATTTGTGGGTAGAGAATGGAGTGATTTATTCAGGCAAGAGAGAATTTCTCTTAACAGTTTTTCAAGGGCAGGGTAACTCTTAAATGGTGAACCAGTGCACCAGTTCTGAAAAAGCCTTTTGAGAAAGGGCTCCTTCCTGGACTTCTACCCTTGGAAAGCTGGTGGAGGCTCTGAATTGCTGGAGAGAGGACGGTACCGTGAAATAGAATATTTTTCTCCTTGTCCTTAAATAAATGCAGGAAAACAACTCTCTGTCCGTGGAATTTCTCCAACATTCTGTCTTCTTTTGAAAAAATGCTTTCAAAGCTAATTCTCATTCAACATACTGAATAAAAACGCTACCAGTAGGGGGAAAGAAATCAGACAAACATCTTCTCAGTCTGTGGCTAGTTTGCATGGAAGAGAATCAGGACAGTTAAGACTCAAAAAAAGAAAAAAAGAAAAAGAAAAAAAGTTGTTGCTGAACTGATAATTAGATAGCACTGATTACCTGCTGGGTATTCAAAAGCAGACCAAATGTCTTCCCCCCCCCTAATTTGATCATAATTTGAGAAGGGCTCTATATGTTGCATAAGGCAACATCCCACCCAGTGACTGTCCTCCCACTCTTTATTTGTTTGGCTTGGAGTTACATTTTGGTAGGTTACTTCTAGCAAGTAATTTGAGGTTGGTTTGCAACCACTTGGGATAAATACAGGCAGTGATGTTGACACACCACTGAAACCCTGCAGTCTAACATGACCGCATACAAAGTGTTACGTTAGACAAGGTGGATCTGGGCACACTTGAGATTTGGTGGCAATGTGTTGTTGACAACACTGGAACCGATAACAGCGTATCTTCACAGTGTTATAGTTGGATGTCTCCAGTCATGCACAATGTGAAGCAGATGCGGTAACACAACATAGCTGGGACACTGTTGATCTAGAAGAATCCAGAGACTTACTTTTTTGAGGGTGGGGGAGAGGACTTCATATCCCCCCAAAAAATCTAAGAAAACAGGAAGAATCACCCATCCTGTATAAACAGACTGGATGTGGATTCTGAACTTCAAACTCCATGAAAACTGGAAATGTCCACCCGGCTAATATTTTCTCCACTACATTCTACATGCAACAGGGCATTTGATTGTTATTTGAGACATAAATTAATACTATTTTCATTCTGTTAGCTTAATTAGCCAGTATACATAAAGGTAGTGAATTTTTTAAAAATACAAAATATGCGCTTGGTTAATGGGAACATCATCCTTATTTCTAATAGTAAGACCAGACGGGGAATGTGCGTGTTGGTTGTGAGGAAATCAACCAAGGGTAGACAAGTGTAAGCTGTTGCATAAGGCAACAAGGCAACATAAGATGGGACAAATTCTAAAGGCATCCTTCTATCTCAAGTGCCATTTCCATGAGGTGCAAGTTGCAACCAAGATGAGATATCGCACCAAGTCCCTCAGTGTATGGAAAGCGGCCCCCTCCTCTAAACCTTATCCAAGCGCCGCAAAATTATAGAGGCAACAAAACATCGCAACTTCCCCGGCTTTCTTTCGCCCAACTTTGCCCAATAGCTTCCTCTAGGTGCTGTCCGTGGTGCTGAACAGCCGATTAAGACGATGATCGAGGCCGGCGTCTCCTCGTTAGGCAATGGAATAATCTAAGGGTTGGGGGCTGTGGCATCCATGACAACTACTGCGTCCCTCGGTGTATGTGTGTGTGTGTGTGTATCTGTGTGGGTCTGTGTGTGTCTGTGTCTGTGTGAGAGTTTGTTTTCGTTACTGTCTGTCTCCTTGCTGCTGCTCTACCGTTGATTCGCTTTTTATCACATCATCTGCACCAGATTTTTCAACATAAGGTGCTTGGGGTACGACCTCCATCATTCCGAATCCCCCCATCCCAGGTTGGCTGGAAAGGGTGGGGAATTGAAGCCTAAACATAGCTAGAGGACAACCAGGTTTGTGCAGACTGACCTACACCCAGGAACTGTGCCTCGCTCTGGGTTTCTACAGCCTAGCTAGCCCCTTGCGGCTGGGCATTCCCAAAGAGCGATCTGCTCCGTTGACCCTCCCTCGCTTCAGATGTAGACAGCCCCGAGAAGTGACCTATTCGATCTCAACCTCCCTCCCCCCCCCCACGCCACCGCCACCGTCTCTGGGTTCACTCAACTACGGTATCCCTCGATCACGGCTACTTGTGAAAGAATTCATCCTCTCCCCTTCTTTCCTTTCCCAAACGCCCAGCCTTTCCTCTGAATCCTAAGGGAACTTCCCAAACCATGTCTTATCTTTATTTCTCTCTTCCTTCCCACCCAGCCTCCCCCCCCCCCAAAATCCGGCATCGCCTACCTGGGAAACCTTCCCCCCACCCCATGCAACGAGGTGGATTTTGCCCGCATCTAGCTGCATTCCTCCTCCTCCTCCTCCTCCTCCTCCTCCTCCCCTTCAAACCCGTGTCGGCTGTGCTCGGCGTTGCTTAAGGCGAAGGTTGCCTCTCTCTTTCCCCCTCAACCCAACCCAACCCACCCCGCCCCCAACCCACACACACGGTCGCCCAAGGACTGAGGTCCCGTCCCTCCCCTTATGCAACACCCCCAACACACACACACACACACACACACACAAGCACACCCTACCTTATTATCCCAATGCAGGATCCAGACACAGCTTCCCCCTGGCTCCCTCGCCCGCCAGGCGAGGCAGACGCGGCAAGGAAGAGAAAGCCCGAGCGGCGCCCCTGCCTCTGCCCGCAGAATTCCTTCACTGCCGGGAGGGCGAAGCTCCGGGTGCCTTGGAGCTCCGAGCGGCCGCTTGCCTGGTTCCTTGATTCCCGCTTTCCTTCGCCCCGGGGCGCCACGGCCACGGCCACCAGTGGTAACAACCGCGGCTTAGCTCGGGCTGCAACTGCTGCCGTTTCGGCGCTCTCCGCTTCCCCAGCGGCCAAACGGGAGGGCTCGGCGAGAGAAGCGCAGGCAGGCAGCGCCTCCTCTTCCCTTCCCTTCCTTAAGCGAGGAGGCAAGCCCGCTCTCTCGCTCGCTCGCTCGCTCGCTCTCTCCGCCGCCTTTGGCAGGATCCTTCCGCCCGCCCGCCCGCCCGCCAGGTGATGGGAAGGGGAGAGCTTGGCGAGCGAGCGAGCGAGAGTCGGAGCCCCCGAAGCCCTCCCGCTTGTCCTCGCTTCCCTGCCGCCCCTCCTTTCCTCGCCCGCTCAGCCTGCCCGGTCCTCCTTTCTGGGCTGAGCGGAGACGCTGAGCTTCATCGGACAAGAAATCCGGGACTGAAATCCGGGGAAGGGTTTGCCCGAAAGGCAGGAGATCAGGCAGACAGGTTGAATAGATTAACACAAGAGTTGGAAGGGACCTTGTAGGTCATCTAGTCCAACCCCCTGTCCAAGGAGGAGACCTTACACCATTTCTGACCGATGGCTGTCCAGTCTCTTTTTGAAAGCTTCCAATGATGAAGCTCCCACAACTTCTTCAAATTGGTTGATTGCTCTCACTGTCAGAAAATTTCTCCTTATTTCCAGGTTGAATCTCTCCTTGTTCAGTTTCCATCCATTATTCCTTGTCTGGCCTTCAGGTGCCTTGGAAAACAGCTTGACCCCTTCTTCTCTGTGGCAGCCCCTCAAATATTGGAACACTGCTATCATGTCTCCCCTGGTCCTTCTCTTCACTAGACTAGCCATGCCCAGTTCCTGCAACCATTCTTCGTATGTTTTAATCTCCAGGCCCCTAATCATCTTGGTTGCTCTTCTCTGCACTTTTTCTAGAGTCTCAACATCTTTTTTTTTATAGTGTGGTGACCAAAACTGGATGCAGTACTCTAGTGTGGTCTTACTAAGGCTTTCTAGAGTGGTATTAGTACCTCCCTTGATGTTGACTGTATCCCTCTGTTAATGCAATTTAGGATTGCATTGACTTTTTTTTTGACTGCCACTGTACACTGCTGGCTCATATTTAGCTGGTTGTCCACTAAGACTCCACGATTCCTCTCACAGTTACTGCTATTAAGCCTGGTTTCACCCCAGTCTATATGTGTACTTTTGGTTTTTCTTGCCTAAGTGTAAGACTTTACTTTTCTCTACATCGAATTTCATTTTGTTAGATAGGGCCCCAGTGTGCAAGTCTGTCAAGATCCATCTGGAACTTGAGCCTAACTTCTAGGGTGTTAGCTATTCCTGCCATCTTAGTATCATCTGCAAATTTCAGATAAAGCCCCGGGCAACTCTTTGGGTTTAAAAGTAAGCCACGACTGATCACTGGGTGTATTATATTGACATTGTTTCCTAATTGTTTATTTATACCCTATGACTATCATTAAGTGTTGTACCTTATGATTCTTGATGAACGTATCTTTTCTTTTATGTACACTGAGAGCGTATGCACCAAGACAAATTCCTTGTGTGTCCAATGGACTGGTTTCCAAAATATGCTAAGATGTGGTTTCCTTCCTTCAGATTGGGTGAACGAACCACAATTGTTGGGTCACACAACACTGTCAGGCAAAATGAAGATGTGTTGGTTGTTCCTCGGTGTACTCTAACTCAAAAATGTCACAAAACTGGAAGCAATGCAATATTAGGCAGGCCACCTGGAATTCTTGGGGCAAAGGTTGAGGTGCTACAAGTAAATAAATGTGAACAAATAAATGGCAAAATAATTAATATTGTCCAATAAAAAAAATTGTATTCTATTCTATTCTAAAGTGTAGATTGTCTTTACAAGTCATAAGCAGTAAACCAGGGTTTAACCAGCCTGCATGGGCTACTTGGTTTCCCTCGGTAGGCTGAGCCAGTTTGGCAAAACACCCTAGTACAGGTTCACGCAATGCCATATAAGCTACAAACCATAATGGCAAGTCAAACCAATGATATTATAGCCTAGCCAAATACAAGATTTGAACAGGGCAGCTTAAAATTCTTATGCCAATGTCTATGGAGATTCTCAGTCATGGTTTGAAAGAGAGGTCAAAGAGGCCATCAAGGTCAAAATTGAACAGCCCTCTTTCAACAGAAGGGGATGGATAAGACATCCTCTATCTCCAGTCTACAACACAGTCCTTTCAACAGTTCCAGGAAGGCTCCACACCCATTTGCAAAACCTCAGGTGATGCTGAGGACACAGATAAACCTCCAAGTGGCCTCAATGTCTCTCTAAAAGGATGCAAATGACCAGCTGTCTGCAAGGAATATAAATCCTTCCATTCCTCACCATCCACTCAGAGCTGAAGAAGCTTCTTCGGATGAGAAGCAAAACGTCTTCCAAGAAAAAAAAAACGAAGTCCAATTGCCTTCTGAAAAAAGCACCTTTGGGTCTTTTGCCAATGCTCAAAATGTGATCTCAACCACTCTATGTCTATGGAGATTCTCAGTCTTCCAGGTCATGGTTGTCCCAAAGGTGCTTTTTCAAGAGGCAGCTGGACTTTCTGGTTTTTTTTCTTTGAAGATGTTTCGCTTCTCATCCAAGAGCTCAGCTCTGACTGGATGATGGGGAATGGAACCACTCTTATCTTTCTCATTTTCTCAATATTCAATTTTCTCCAAAAGGGGGTTTATTTTAATTATTTTGCCATTTATTTGTTCACATTTATTTACTTGTAGCACCTCAACCTTTGCCCCAAGAATTCCAGGTGGCCTGCCTAATATTGCATTGCTTCCAGTTTTGTGACATTTTTGAGTTAGGGTACACTGAGGAATAACCAACACATCTTCATTTTGCCTGACAATGTTGTGTTCATTCACCCAATCTGAAGGAAGGAAACCACGTATTTTGGAAACCAGTCCATTCATATGGTGGCTGCATTTGCAAAACAAGTTTAAACCAGGTCTCCTGGGTTAATACAAGCTTAATTAGCATTAGCTTTGCTTTCAGTTTTGTTTCAGTTGAATTATCCATAAGCACATATCTCGGCTTCTTTATGGTTCCATAAAATTCTATAGAATTGGAAAAAGACACAAAAAAGGAGTTTCGTTATTAAATACGGATCTGAACCTAGATCATTCCAGTTGTCCTTTGACACCACAACTGAATTCGCAGTCCAAGATGAGAAAACACAGTCACTATCATGATATGATTTGTCCCAAACAATAAGAAGTTCTTCGTGCTCTCTGAGCTTAGCTCTTTTCTTCCTAGTTTGGATATTGAAAAATTTTAATATATTTACAGTAATTTAACAGCTGGAACTATGAAGTGTAATAATGGGCCAGAACACACAGTTGTAGTTGACCAGTTGGAGAATGCGGGCTCTTGCGTGAGGCAAGCTACTTTATGATTGGTCGCTGGGTATAAAGGGGGAGTTTCCCTTTTTTCCCGCCTTTTTCTTCTGCGTGCTCTGTACGCTGTTGTGTGATTTACCTGACAATTTACCTCATGAAGTTCCTGTGTTCCTGACTACCTTGTCTGCTGAAAATATAAATGCTAAATATATTTATTTTATACATAACTACCGTGTTTCCCTAAAAATAAGACCCTGTCTTATATTTTTTTGAACTCTGAAATAAGCGCTTGGCTTTATTGCCATGCGTTCAAAAGCCCGATTGGGCTTATTATCAGGGGATGTCTTATTTATTTTGGAGAAAAACAGGGTACAAGTCTGTGTTAGCATCTCTGACCTCACGTGGTACACTTGTGGTGCAATTTACCTGTCAAAATATCTACAAGAAAACAAAAAAGCATAGAGAGAACGAAGGACTTCACACTTCAACCCCGAACTACAAATATCCCTTTCTATCATTCTACCAATAGTCTCTTCTACCATTAATAATTAGGCTTCCCATAATAAACTCATTTATCCCTGAAACCTAAGAGATGGATGGGATTTCCAGAACATGCTGCATCCCAAAGTACAGTTTTTACAGTTGACTTTCAACGGTTCGTTTAGTGACGGTTTGAAGTTACAACGGCATTGAAAAAAGTGACATATGCCCAAGCAATCATCTTTTCTTTAACTATTTCTTCCTCCATTTTGTAGTTCAGTAAATAGTTATATATAATATTTTTAATCCGTTTTTCATGCTGTTGGTTCTTTATTTACACCCCATGTTCTAACGTCTTTCTTATATCTTGACTGAATCTGGAAGTACGGCCACCAAGCTAGATCTCCCCGTTGGTTCTGTAGTTGTTGCCTAGATTTAAGTTAACCCCTCTCATTTAAAATATCTTTTAATATCTTTCCTATAATGTTGTGATTTAGTTTTTTCCCATATGTTAAGCAACACATTCCTCACATAACTGACAACTGGTTCATATTTATGACGGTTGCAGTATCCCGGGTTCACGCGACTATCTTTTGCGACCTTCTGACAAGCAAAGTTAATGGGGAAGCCAGATTCACTTAACAACCGTGTTACTGATGTAACGACGGCAGTGATTCAACTGAACATATGTGGCAAGCAAAGTCCTAAAACAGGGCAAAACTCATTTAACAAATCTCTCACTTAGCAACATAAATTCTGGGCTCAACTGTGGTCATAAATTGAGGACTTCCTGTCCCCAATTATACTTTAGCCTAGTCCAGTGTGTTAGGCTGACCTTGACTCATCTTGGAATGCTAAGCAGGGTGAAATCAGGTTAGCACTTGAATGAGGGACCCCAAGGAACTGGCAGGGCTGAAGGCAACACTGTAGAGTTGTATAACAGTTGTATATTGCTTAGCGCATTGTAAGCCGCCCTGAGTCTCCGGAGAAGGGCAGCATATAAATCAAATTAAAAAACAGAAACAAAAACCCATTTGTCTGAAGTGGCGTAGGGTTTCCTGCCTAAGCAGGGGGTTGGACTAGAAGACCTCCAAGGTCCCTTCCAACTCTATTATTCTATTCTATTCTATTTCTATTCTATTCTATTCTATTCTTCTATTCTATTCTATTCTGAGGTTGGAGCAAAATCGGGGCGCAGACTGGACTCAATTTAAGGCCAATTTAATTAATCTCTTTTTCTTCAAAACCTGGGTTTAAACTCTAAGTAGGATAAAGATTTTCAGCATATGCAGAGAGATTGTCTACAATTCTGCAAAGCAGATTTTTCCAGGTTCAATCTCTGTTAAATATAGTAAAAGTTGACTTTGACCCTTG